CCTTCCTTCCTTCCTTCCTTCCTTCCTTCCTTCCTTCCTTCCTTCCTCACACATCATTTATTTAAAGGGTTCTTGTTACTTAAATGTGAATCCCCATCACAGTGCAATAAATATATTTAAGACATTTAATAATTGGTTTAGGCCCAAACCCTTTTTAATATATGGCATTGTATTGACGTTCAGGTTAAATCACATCTTCAATGTCAAGCTACTAACTGATGTGGATGGGGGAGGAGGGGAGCCAGATTGGGACCATGACTCTGTTTTGTTTCTTTTAATGCCATTTTCTGACAGCTAGAGCTGAGTCAGGCATCCAGGAGCTGGTATCTGCTTCCCATTTGCTTAGAGTCAAAGCTTAGGATTTACTCCCTGTGAAGGGGAAAAATCCCTTCCAATTCCACCGAAGAAAAGATTTGCTGCTCTTTCACATATAGCAAAATGTTTTAGTTCATAACTTTTTGCGCAAACCACCCAAATGGAAATATACTATTCTAAAAGTCTGTTCAAAGCAATCTATCCTGGACTTGGTTAGAATTACCTAATACAGAGTTATACAATATTGCAATATTGCATATTTCTATGAACATCAAATACTGAATTGAATTGAAGTACAGAAATATGTGCATCATATTCTTGATTATGAAGGCCTTCATTGCATGAGTATTAATTGTTGCTTTGAGCTGTTGGCTATTTGATTTCAAAGTTTTAAATTTTCAAATACAATTACAACCAGTTGTTGGGCTGCTAGCAGTGCACATGCAATTGATTCAGAGATTTATTTACTTTTTTTCTCTTTATCCATGACAGGTCTCCAGTAATATTTTTGTTTCTCTATAAATGAGATGTGATATTTCTTCCCTTCTTAAGAATTGTTTCTTCCTTTAGCTCAAATCACCAATTGCTCTAACAAAAGCTTTTCCCCCAGAAATAATTACTCACTTGTTCTAAGTCTGCCTTCTCCATCAAGAGAAGATCTTTTCAGAATGAAGCCTTTTAACTATAAGGTGTTTTTTTTGCTTTCTTTTTTCAAAAAGGAAAGTGATTTGGAAAACAAATCACTCTATCTATCTATCTATCTATCTATCTATCTATCTATCTATCTATCT